AGTAAATGTCATGAACCAATCTAACGTTTCAAATAAAGAACCGATGAGATTTTGCAAATTTTATGCGTTTTTTTTTTTAAAAAAGTTATCAAGCTCTTAAAAAATCACCCGTTATTATATGTATGTATTCACAAGTACAAGTAGCCAACAAAGAAGGCGAAGTGTTAAGAAGCAATTTAGCCGCCGACTAAGTGGCCAAGCCACTGATGCAACAAAGCCTACATGGGCTAACCTACCGGCAAAGCCATAAAAGCAGCACAACCTGCCGTGCAGCTTGAGGGTCAGCGCTGTTACCACATTTCTGCTGCTTGCTATTGTTATTGTTATGGTTCTGGTTGGATTTTTAAGTTTTTCGGCAACTTTTGCTGCAGCCTAAAGTGGCATGTAATTAGCAATTACTCAAAGTGGATGCCTCAAAAATCAGCAACATCAAGTACGTTACATGCAGTAGCGCGTGAATACAAAAGCGAGTGCTGTCGCTCAATTGGCAATAGCTAACTGTTAGTGTTTATATGTGACTTGTGGTTCTGCTATGCATGTAAATATGTGTGCGTGTGAATATGGTTTGACGAAGATGACCCTCAAAATATTTAAAGCAGGCTTGGTTATTCTTAAAGGTCGACACGTACTCACTAAGTTTGAACATAAAAATATACAAATATACGAGTTTGCATACTATACACGTATACTATATATTATATTTGCCGAATTATATATTTATAAGTATGGTATGCATGTATCTGTGTGCGAGAAACAACCGCCGAAAGTGTCAACAAAAAGTTGTTTAATAAAAATTAAAGACAAAACGCGCAAGCGCCGAAAAATAATAACAATAAAAGAAATTACAATTAACTCAGCAAGAAAGCTTAACCCTTTGAGTGGCACACCTACAGTGAAATTAAGAAAAAACTTTTTTTTTTTTTTTTTTTTTTTTGAGTTACAGCCTTCTAAAGTTTAGCTGCTCAGTTCAATCAGGATAATCAGTTTATCGTTTTCTCTAAGCTACAACTTTCAACTTTGCTCAGAGATTTCTCGAATACAAATCTTCCGATTACTATAAAATTTTCTTGAAAAAAGATGCAGCTGAGAACGGAACCGTCAATGGCGACCGTTATCGCGTCATAACAAACGACTATTTGATGTCTGAGATTGAAGCTCGTAATCTCAGCAACGTTTAGTTTCAACAATTTATGGATGGATTTATTTAGACAACACTTCGCTGAGCAGATGGTTTCACACTTTGAACTGGTCGATTGGCCACCTAGATCGTGTAATAACACACCGTTAGACCCTGTCCTGTGGGGATATGTAAAGTCTATGAGAACAATCCCTCTTCGATTCAGACCTTGGAGCAAAACATCGCACGTGTCATTCGACAGTTACCAGTCGAAATGCTCGAACGAATTATTGAAAATTGAACTTAATGGGTGGACCATCTGAGACTTAGCCGTAACCAACATACAAAAAAAAATGCCAAGAATCTCCCTTAGAACGCTTATTAGCATTCCCCACTAAATTTGAAGTTCCTCCATTATTCTTTTAAAAAAGTAAGGATCATCATTTACAAATATTTTGTCTGCTAGAGCTTATTATTTATGGTGAAATATTATGTTAAACAACGCTTTCGTACATATAAATTTGCGTAATTGGTTGAAGATGTCAGACCCAAAGTGCTGCTGCCTTGATCTCATAAAGAAGTCAAACAGCAAGCGTTCCGATGACTACGTTTTCTTCCAAACAACTGTTATAATTAGCACCCAGTAAATTTCCAATTTATCGCTAGGCGGACAAATTTTGTGACTGCTCAAGAGATAATAGTCAACTAGTTCCTGCCTATTGAAACTATCACATTAAACACATTAGAATGACAGCTGACCGGAAGCAGCCCCCTTCCTTTTCGTTAAAAATTGTTGATTTATTTTGTTATATTTTATTTAAATTTTTTTCAATTATATTCTACAAAAAAAGATTGATATTACGTAAGGTTAATTATCAGCTACAGTTTTGAACATTTCTATTAAAAATAGGGATGTAAAGAAATCCTCTTATATTCTTGGCCCGTGTAACATGGCACCATTGGCACCATGGCCATTTTTCCGGAAAAAAAAAACAAAAAATACAAACTATTTAGGACGCTTTTAAAAGCCACAGCTGAAATTGAGAATTGCAATTTGAGTCAAAATCGTGTTAAAGATCTTTACATTATTATCGCGCCTGGTATGGATCTATATCAATACAGTTCAAACTAAAGCAATATCTTAGGTACACTGAATATGTGACATTTTTTAAAAACAAGAAAAAACTTTAACTTCAGTTATACAGCAGAGAAACTCTAAAAAATTAAAGATACTATAAAGAATTTTCGTACAAGAACGTGATTTCATTGTTCAGTTTGTATGGCAGCTATATGCTTTAGTGTTTCGATATCGGCGATAGCGATAAATGAACAGCTTCCTGGAGAGAAAACGACGTGTTTAAATTTTCGGGTCCATATGTGAAAAACCAAAGGGCCAGTTAGACGAACATGACTAAATCAACTCAGTTCTGATGATTTATGTATAGCTATATTATAAGTAGTTTCGGATACCCTCTATTACCTATATCTCTCTGGGTGTTACAAACATCATACCGATAAATGAACAGATTCCTGGAGAGAAAACGACGTGTTCAAATTTTCGGGTCCATATGTGAAAAACTAAAGGGCCAATTAGACGAACATGACTAAATTAACTCAGTTCTGATGATTTATGTATAGCTATATTATAAGTAGTTTCGGATACCCTCTTTTACCTACATACATCTCTCTGGGTGTTTCAAACACCATCTCAAACTTAATATACCCTGTTCGTGATATTAAGAACACATAATAATTTATATCAATCAAATTCAAATTTCAAATTTCTTGGGGGATAGAGTCATGTGGAGAAGTTTACGCAAGCGAGGAAAGTTCTCTGAGCGCTATTCACTTGGGAGTGGCCAGAAACGTTCCTTTACATATGGCTTAAGCAGCTCACGACTTCGGGTCTTAAGCCAATTATCCTCTGGGTAGCCAAACAAACATCAGTTTGAAGGCAAGCTAAAGTCAGAAGGCGAAACATCACTTCTCAGGGTTGTGCGCTGCGTCGGGGACCCGCCACGTAAAAAACACCCCCAAAGAAAGGAAGAAAAAAGCCTCGGAATTTAAAAGTTAATATTTTTATATGTGGTCGTTAAAGGGTTAAGTTTAGCCGGCGCACATATTTAACGTAATAATACGGCAGTAATTTAATTACAGTTAGTGTTTCATACGCGATTAAATTTCAACAAAAAAATCACAAACACAAACACAGTTTGTTGAAAATAATTACGTAAAGATAAGAATTAGTTGGGTTTTTTTTAATTACCATGAAGCCTGTGTGCCTGTGACGTAAAAAACGCTGATCTCCACACAAAAGCCGACACATTACAACAGGAGACGAAAGGCGAAGCAACAGTGCTGAGCAGCGCGCATATTTGGAATTCCAGCGCCGCTCAATATGAATACGAACAACACGAAAAGTCAGCCGTTCGACGAAATTCAAGTCAAGTTCGAGTTCAACACACAGCGCGCTCACTTGTTGCTGCTATTTCACTAACGAAATAAATACAAATTGTGAAGTGACTATTCTTAATACAATTTTGTGACTTTTGTTATTGTTGTTTAAAGCAACTGGTTGCTACTGATACTTTAACTGAAAACAATTATGTTGCTCCTGTGCGTATATGCATATGTGTGTACGTCTGTTTTTTAGTCGAGTCAAGTTGGGTGTCTAGCTGTTGTGCACTTTTCTACTAGCTGCGCATGCGTACTGGATTGAACCTGTTTACTGCACTTGGCGAGCCTATAAATAGTAGATATGCAAAAAGTGGCGAATTTTCACTTCATCAGCGCTGCATGTGTGCTGTTATGTTGTGCATATGTGTTGATTACTTTGCTGTTATTGCACTTTCCTCACATTCGTTGCACTTTCATTAAACATTTAACACTTTTCGTTGCACTTCCGTTTCACTTGCCACCAATCAGCACTTTTCGATTGCTAATTTCAGCTCAATTTATTTGGCATACTTAAAGTTTTCAAATTAACTAATTAATTCGCCTCTTAATAATTTATGTATGTGCACTTGTAAAATTTTTCACAGAATTCTTATTTCTAACGCACTAAACTATTTATAAATTCTATTTATATTTTCCCCAGGTGGCTTACGCCTAGTGAAAATGTTTAAGCGCGACTTATACGTAGCGCGACTGCGAGAAAACTGAAAAATTCCAAACAGTTAAGCTGTCAAGCCAGTCAGCAAAGCGGCCAACAGCAACTCAAGTAAAAAGCAAAAACAACAGCGCAAACCAAAATGCGACAGAGTCAAGAGCATATGAGCACACTAGTAATGAATATTGAGGACGTAACGTACTCGCATAATAACAAACATTTAGCAACGACGACATGACTCCAGCATAGCCAGCACAAGCCAAATGAGCAAAATGAGCGCGTTGGAGAGTGCGCAACTCTCGAAGACACACTTGAAGTCAGTGCGTGCTGGGCAGATGTGCTATCGACAGGCGGAAAACAGACAAGTGCGACCGCCACGAGCAGGCAATCAGAGTCGGTGCCAGCCAGCCGCTGAGATAGCGCAGAGAGACCGTGAAGAAGATTGAAGTCAGCGTGAGCACTAACGCTATCTTAGTGGAATATTTAAGTAGTGAAACGGCAGCGCGGTGGCGGAAGATGCGCCAAGAACACGTACCAACAACGCTTCTACATGCGCCCAAAAGTTATAAGTCTGTGTGTGTATAACATATAAACAATAACATTCCATACCAATGCTGACTGCTGCAACAGAAATGCTTTACAATGGCTTGATTAACAAAGCGCGGCTGCAACTGCAGCGATCTCTAGCAGACACACTTGAAGATGCACATAGCTCAGCTAAGTGAGCTCGGCGCAGTGAACTCGAAAGCAAATAAAGCATGCGGCAGACATCGGCAACTCAAATGCGCACAGCGGCTACCCGCATGCAGCAGCTCTAGATTAGTAAGTATGTTCTGTAGTGGCACCTAATTTGTGTACCGCTTAGCACCCACTGCAACGCAAAGCTAGCCAAGTGTGTGAGCTTGTGCTGCTTTGCATGCTTATGTGCTGTTGCTGTTCTATTTGTTTTGCGTGCGTATCGCCAATAATGTGATTTTGCCACAATTCTTTTGACGTGCTGCATTGTGGTGAGACACCACCCAGTAAACAACAGTTTTGCTTCACGTTTCAAGCATTAACAAAATGCGGGTTTTTTCTTGAAGAAAATTTATTTTATGACTCCAGTTGTAACATACTTGATTTCATAGACTCAAAATCATTGAATATGAATAAAAAATATTAAATACGGAGGCTGTACAATAATTACTAAGTATGCTCAATTTTAACCATTGAGTCTTGGTACCCAAGATAATAACATGGAACATGGGCTGGAACGTATATGACCTAGCAATGAAGGAACATTTTTTTTTTTCAATGAAAATATACATTTATTCCTCAACACGTAGTATGAGATGATATGGTGATAGGGGATACCAAAATTCGAGTGTTATCCCCCTTGTTATGGAATCTTGTCGTGGACGAATTACTCGTTTTGCTAATTAGCTATGAAATCGGTTGTCCACGATATGTGGACGACATTGTTATCATAGCTAGAGGAAAGTTTGAAGAAACTTTCTGCAATATCGTAGAAAGGGGAATATGCCTAGCCAAAAGATGTCGCAGAGGGATTGGATTGAACATCAACCTGCCTGGCCACACGAACCTAACCATAGAAGGCATCTTGGTCTCACGCTGGATTTCACTCTGCGGTGGAAGCAACATGTTCACCTGTCAGCATGATCAAAGCACTTATGGTATGCAATCGACTAGCTGGTAAATCCTGGGGCTGCAAGCCAAGGATTGTCAGAAGGTTGTATATCATGTTCGTGCGACCGATTTTGACATATGAAGCGGTGGCTTGGACCCCGAAAACATCGCAGACCTCGGTAGGACTTCAACTAATGAGGCTGTAATGATAAGCCTGCATCTGCGTGTTGATTGCAATGGCGCCACTCCTGTTAATTGGTCAGGAATCAGAAATTAACTGGCTGATGAGCTCGCTACAATGGTAGGACACAAACCTTTCATTGCGTTTGGTCCCCATACCATTATGGAGCTGCTCCGCAAAGAAGAAGGATCGTTAATGATGGGTTATAACTTTAAAATGTTTAAATATATAATCAATCTAACAAGGGACAAGTTCAGGATCCTTGTCACCTATGGGATATACGATGAAGGAATGGATATAAGAGAGGAAGAACTCAATTAGTTTTTTATAAGGGATTTGTCGAGGTGGTAAGGTGTTCCAATGTTGTGGCATCATCTTAGTAGATGACACTATCTTGCTTTTCTCATTTCTGAATCTTCCCAATAAACCTAATCACCATATTTTCAGCTCCTCAGTTTTAATCTAATCTAAGCACCAACTTTGCCTTTAGCACAAAATTACTATTATTTTAATTATTTTTTCTTTTCCTTAAATTCTGGTTAATGGGTACATACGTACATAAGAATGCTTGTACAATGAGCATAGCTTATATGTATACATATGGTATCCATGTATGCTCTCATGTGAGCACACTGGCGAGCATCTTCTGTGCGATCAACTTCATTTGATGGCATATCTCGATAGCAGTCATAATAATCATTGAGATGTTTTTACTTCTGCTGTCAGTGACAGACTCCAGCAATGCGCTGATGACCTGAAAAGAGTTGGCAGTATGATATATAACCATGTACATGTCCATAGATAGATGTATGATCGGGGTATAGGCACCACAAGCTGAACGTCATATGTCGGATTTATGAGCTGTATATAAAATTATCTGAGTCTAAAGTCTGACAATAAAAGCTAAAGTGAAGCTCCACTTCTCGACTCGGAAATCGTGGAAAGAGATAAAAAATTATAGCTTCTTTGTTTTGAGATAATAATTGATTAAGTTCATTTCCTATCTTAAGTTAGGTTAGGTTAATCCGGTAGGTCAATGAGCCAAGCAAAGACCAGTTTTGATCCTTTGCGATACCAGATAGAATCCAGTTACTAGGTCCATGAGAAGTAGTATCCTTTAACAGACTCTGTGGCCTCACTATCGATAGCTTCTCTAGTGTATTATATCGTAGGGACCCCAGATGCTTACAGCATAGTCTTGCCAATGCGGTACAAGTGCACAAGAGATGCTCTATTGTTTCTCTGCGGACGTGTGTCGCTACTAGACGTCGATCTGTTAGTATTCCGCATTGACTATTTGTGAAATGGAAACATTATCAATGGTGACTATTAACGGTACATAATATGCAATAACAATATACAAGGAAGAGGCCCTGGAAAAATGGCGGTACCATTTAGACAGGAGAAAGAGCCCAATTGCCTGTGGAACTGACGCTCAGTGCCTTTTTACTGTTTTCAAAACTCAAACAAATGCCTGTTTAAAAGAAATTTAGCAACTAAACGCCAAGAGACCAATCGTAATATAAAAATACGAGGAAATATTAATTATGTAAAATGCTATAAACAAATTTTGACAAAAATTATATTTTTCCAACGGATTTTTCATATCGTTGATTTACAAATTAAAGCCAAATAATTGTTAATTAATAAATAATTACGCGTAGTAATGAACAATGGAGTAACGTAAAGTGTACATACAAATATGTTCATAATTATTAAATTATTTTATTTGTTTTCCGCAATTACACACATTTTAATTGCGAGACCCCACTTATTAATAAAACTGCATCAGGAAGGGAATATGTGTACGTGTGTGGGGTAACTGTAGAATGCATTCATGATAAATTCCGCATTGTAAATTCACTCTTTGGTGCGGTCACTTGCTCAGGGCCAGTGTTCTTCCCGATAATTTTCATATTTTGCTTCTTCAACTTTCAAGCGTTGACTTCATTTCGTTGAACTTCTTTATTTCAGTGTGACTGTTTGCAGTTGCAGTCGGCAACAGATGTGGACTGCGTAATTCTTATTGATTGCATTGAAGTTGAAGTGGATGGAAATGTTGCTGTGCTGCATGATATCATATGGCACCACAATGAGAATTATGTTGATAGGGGTATATATGTATGCATATAGTATGGGTATAAACATATGTATATTCATCTTTGCATACTGCCATATATATGTATATACATTTCATTTATCCAGCGAATATACAATGCAGGCATGAAAATTAGCACGCTCTGTCTGATTATTTCTTTAAAAATTGTATACTAAAAAAGCTCAAACAGTTTTTGAGTTGCAGCTTTTTAAAATGTAGTCGCTCGGTTCAGTTAGCTCCATCAGTTTATCTTTTTTTCGTCACTTGAGGCATTATTACTAGGAATAAATAAATATTATGACAGCTATCAATTTTTTTATACATAATCGGACCAAAAAAGTCGTTATTTTGTAAATTTTGGGTTTTTTTTCCATAGGCCATTCTACGGATAATATCTTCTAGTTTAGAATATTTTGAATATTTTACATTTCATTTATGGAGAAGGTGGAAATCATTGCAACAGTGGATCCTTTTATTTCGCGCTGCCAGAGATCGCGTGTAACTCAAAAAACAGATGCAACGCGCCTGCTTGCTCGGGATTAGAGGCGAATATATGTACATATAAGTTAACACAACATTTTATGAACTTCTACATAAATTCCATTCCCACATTATATGCTAGAAACATACAAACCGTTTGCATACTTTGGAGTCCTATTACAACCAAAAGTGCAACTGCGCTAAACGCGCATCCGCTAAATTCTTAAGTGAGCGAAACACGCGCAAACCCTTTTAGCTGACCAAGCATCTTTGTCATATTTTAAAAATTCGGCCTAAAATGGTAATGCGAGTAAGGGAGACCCCTAAGAGAAGTATGTAGCAATGGTTCTTTGATCGGCAGTTCCAAAGGCGAAACTTCAAACTAAATTACTACAATCCAGCCGAAATTGAGGCCATCAGAAATTGTGTTAAGTGGGCTTCTACTCTAACCAAAAAGTCCATAAACCTTCTAGCGGATATCCAAGCGGATATCCAATTAAGGCTATCCGTAGCACAAATACTAAGTATCAATATGTTAGTTTACGTTTATGCAAGCAGGCAATAATTAACCATACAGTAGGTAACTCTGTTAATATCATCTGGGTACCCCTTCATATAGGAATAGAAGTAAATGAAAAAGT